TCTTTCCCTTGTTTTAGGGAGCTGGGTGATATGCGTTGTGATTCACATTCAACTTCACTCTGGGCGTCCTTGCAGCTTCTTGAATACGCATTCCATTCATATTGCATCCTAATCCTATCCCCAGAGGCCTCTTAATAATGCTTTTCCTTAATATATAGCTTCATATACAAAAAAGTGCAGTTATAAAGTATATATTCCATTAGCCAGTCTGGGGTCGTGGTTAAATGCGCGGACTCTAATCTGGGAGAACTAGGTTTGATTCCCCACTCCTCCACTTGCACCTGGCTGGATGACCTTGGGCAAGCTGTAGTTCTGGCGCAGATGTCCTTGAAAAAGGAGCCGTTTCTGTCAGAGCTCTCTCAGCCCCACCTACCTCACAGGGTGTCTGTTGTGGGGAGGGGGAGGGAAAGGAGTTTGTGAGCCGCTCTGAGACTCTTCTGGGTAGTGAAGGGTGGGGTACAAATCCAGTCTCTTCTTCTATAAATTTCTCTAATCAGGGAATTCTAGATTACATACCAAAATCTGGATCAGAAGAAATGTCAGAACCCACATTCAGAAATCACATTCATTTTCCCCTTGTCCTACAGTTGCCAGCTCCCGGTTGGGAAATTCCTGGATCCTTGGGGGTGCTTAAATTGGGGTCCCCTTGTTACGTTTCATTAGCAATTTCTGGGGTGGAGACCAGGGAGGGCAGGGACCGCACTGGGGTACAACACCAAGAGTGTTTGTTTGTTTGATTGATTGATTTATACCCCACAAAGGCAGGCTCAGGGCAGCTTACATAAAATGCATACATAAATACAGTTAAGAACATACATAGAACATCCATAAACAATCAATTATCCATTTTCCTAAAATGCCGGAAACCATATAGTGAAATAATGTGTTTGAACAATGAAGCTTCATAACATTCATGTGAAAACATCTGTTGTGCTTGGTAACCTCTAAGTGCCAGGACAAGAGAACTATAACAAGGAGCATTATGGGATTAAAATAATTTCCTGTTCACCCTCCGAAGCACCCATTTTCTCCAGTTGAACTGACTCCTGTATCCTGGAGACGATCTGTAATTCTAGGAGATCTCCAAGTCCCACCTGGAGCCTGGCATCCCTATGCGTTGTTGAGAGAGTGCTCTATTAGACACATCACTTTCGGTGTTTTTCAGGTGGGTTGGGGCTGGCTGGACTGGGTGGCCTCAGGCCCTGGTCTGGCAGGGCTGTGCTGTAGAGGAGAGCGAGGTCTGGCCATGGCTGTTGGCCATGGCGACTGAAGGGAACCTCCACATTCAGGGGCACTAATCCTCTGGATCCCAGAGCCAGGAGGCGACATCACAGGAAGGTTTCAGACTCTATGTTAGCTGGATCTCTGTCGCTGCCACGGGAATGGGGGGAGGCTCTGGAATGCTGAGTTTCATTTCTGCTGTGACTTCAGTGTTTTTGTTATCTCTCTGTAACTTTGAATGCTTGGTGTAGCCTTTCTCTTGGGAAATGTAATCCCTTACTTTGGCGGGCTCCTACCTGCAGCCTGATTGGCCATGGGCCATCAGGGGACCCCCTCGAATATTGTATAATTGCTTGCGTCGCACTCTTCCCTTTAGTTCTAACACGAAATGGTTAAGATATCTGCATACTCTGTGTCTCAATAAACTTTACTTATTTGAATGAGAGCTGTTGGGAACTGATTGCTGCAGGGGTCTGACATTCTACGCCCTGTCCATTTGGACCCCCAGAGGAACCGGTTGGCCACTGCATGAGACAGGACGCTGAACTGGATGGACCCTCTCTGTTCTGATCCAGCAGGGCTCCTCTATGCCCTATAGTTGTCCATCCAGAAGAACTGGTTGGCAACCACGTGAGATGGGATGCTGGACTAGGTGGACCCTCACTGGTCTGATCTAGCAGGGCTCTTCTGATATCTTATGAAGTCCTTGAACTAGATGGACTGTCACTGGTCTGATCCAGCAGGGCTCTTCTGACGTTCTTATGAAGGCTTCGGCCTCTATGCCCCATTGCTGTCCATCCAGAAGAACTGGTTGGTGGCTGTATGAGATGGGGCGCTGGACTAGGTGGACCGTCACTGGTCTGATCTATCAGGGCCGTTCTGATGTTTTTATGAAGGCCTCGGTCTCTATGCCTTGTTTTTGGATCTCCAGAGGAACTGGTTGGCCTCTGTGTGTTAGGATGCTGGACTAGATGGATCCTCACTGGTCTGGCCGGAATTTTTAGGTTTGTGTCCATCCCCAACGTCTAGCACTGCCAGTTGACTGTCATGGGATGCTTTTGTGGTTTTTGCTGCTGACCCAGTCCAGAATACTCTCATTTTTGCATGTGAATGGTCAGTATGTATAACTTGTATTGTGCAAGGAAAATGGCATATTAATTGCATGAGATTGGAACCCTGTTTGTTAAATGGGAAAGCAGTTATTTTTATATATGTCCGTAGCCTTCATGTGATGCTATACTTGGGTAGCAGCACTTAAATACTACACACAACGGTAGAAGACTAAGAAGACTCCTGATTGCTGTCTGCTCTCAGGGTGCATGAGTTAGGTCAAGCGGTCTTAGTCTTTGCTTGTGTCAAAAATGAAAAGCTGAGTTGATTTACAGTGATGATCAATACATTTCCTGGAGTTGCACTGTAGCCAGCAGGTAGACCAAGAGGTGAGGTACGGTACAGAAAGTATGGGTTTGAGCTTAGTCTGAAATTTCAGACATCTTTGGATGTCACTGCAGCTTCTCTCTGGTTCTCCCCAAAGATTTGGAAGTGTAGAACATAGCAACAAATCAAGAAGGCTCTGCATTAAAATGGAGAAAGTTTTAAGCCGACACTGCCTTCTGTGCATGGTGAGACATGGACCCTGCTCCCTTGGCGTGGTTCTCAACTTGTGCAGGGAAGGGTGACACTGCCTTCTGTGCGTGGTGAGACGTGGACCCTGAGCTTGCAGCTCCCTCGGCGTGGTTCTCAACTTGTGCAGGGAAGGGAAGCAGTTATTGTCTGGACGGGCAGTTTACGAATTGGGGAGTCAATGTGCTCTGTAAAATGAACAGTTAACTGGTTCAGTCAATACTTTGAGAGTGCCATGGCAACAGGTTCAAGTTGAGGTTTCTTTTGATTTCCTCTTCCTGATTTGTAAAATGTTCAGTAATTTGCCATAACAAGGTTTCTTAGTGTGTTTGGTAGCATTGCTGAGGTTAAAACTAGTAATGTACCTGTAACTTATGTTATCTGAGGTAGAGTTAAAGTAATAAGCTTGGCTACTCATTTGACTCTCATTCAGAGAAATGGTGCTTAGGGATCTGGCCTGGTTCCACTATTCTCAAGGATAATAAGTTAAATGTCTCTCTGTGGTCTGCATTCTCTGCCATAAGTATGATTTTGGGGTGCCTCTTATTTTTGAAACTGCTCTTTGGAAAAGCAGTGTCTATTATGAATTGCTTGTTTTACCGTTTGGAATAAGTTGCTAACAATGTGTGCATCAGAGCAAAATCATAACAGATTCATGCGTAAAATCAGGAGGTCTCACCACCTCTCCTTGTGTTCTGTCTTAGGCTATTGAAGAGGAAGGAGGAGATCCAGATAATATTGAAATAGCTGCCTCGGCTGATACGCCAAATAAGAAACCAACAAAAGGAAAAGGTTAAAACTTTTTTTCTGAAAACTCTTTGACATTTTTAAAACAAGTGTTACTGTTGAAAAGCTGAGTAACTCTCTTCCCCTGCCAAAATCATAACCAACCTGTTTGAAGCCTTAGTCTGTGCTGCGGAGGTAACTCTGCTTTTCAGTCTTTGTTTATGTACTGTGTGTCTCTGAATTAAAACACGGAGCTTGCTTCCATAGGCTGAAATTGTTCTGCTGAATGCTTATAACATACTGTAGCTATTGTGTTTTATATTTTGTATTGATATTTCTGTGCCCTGTTTCAGTCTTAAGGCAGCTCACGTTTTAAAAAACATCAGTTATGGAGCCAAGCAATACCATATAGGCAATACCAGCTGCCCTTGAAGGACACGATGAAAAAATGCGAGCAGTATCCTAAATATTTGTGCTGAATGAATTTGGTGGTTATTTCTCCCACGGCAGGCTATGTTAATTTATTAGTTATATTAGTTAAATTTATTATTGGTGTTAGTGGAATGATGAAAGTTTAATGATGGAATAACACAACACCGTGTTGCGTTAGGCATTCATGTTGTGCAGTTGTGTGTGGAATTTAAAAGTTTGCTAGGTATAAAATTGACCAGTCAGGCTTTCACAAGGGGTCGAAGTATGACTACCAAAAGAGAAATTTCTGGCATTTCTATCTCAGATGGATGAATGTTTTATCTTGTGACTTTTCTGGCATGAGTAAGTAGGCTGGCCTGGCACTTAACCACCGCTGTTAAATTGTTTTCCTGAGTGGACGGAGTGCTGTGTTGTGCCCTTTAAATTTCAAGGGATAACAGGAATGCTTTTACATCACTGCAGCAGAGAGTGCAGAGATTTGCTTGAAGGTAATCTGTGTTGTTGATCAGTAGTGTGTGTGGATTAGAGTTTACTCCTCTTGAGGCAGTGTAAAGGCAATTCAAATCCAATTTATCCCACTGGGAGTTTGTGTTTTTCCTAAACAGTGAACATCAGTATTTTGCCATCTAACCCTTCAACGGTCATGTTAGTGGGTGCCCCAAGAGAGCTTTTCCACTTGCCTCAGGGCAGCCTGCTTTCTGGTGTTTCCTGTTTCGCTTCAGTCCCTCTCGCACTCCTGAAACACAAGGAGTTACAAATCCAGCACATGTCACCCACTGTAGTCCATGTGTCCTTCCCCACCGGGAATCAATTATGGAACAACCTCCTTAGGAAAGTGTGCCTGGCCCCCTCACTGTTAGTCATTAGGAGACCGTTGAAGATGGTTTTGCTTATTTATTTAATTAATTTATTACATTTATATCCCGCCCTCCCCACCATATGGGGAGTTTAGGACTGTATTTGGTTAAGTTTACTAGCAGTACTGAACTATGATTTTAAATTTTGGCTTGTGTGTTTTTTATGCATTTTGCTTTATGTGTTTGATCTGTGTTGGAAGCCACCTTGAGCTCTGTAAAGAAGAAAGGCAGGCAGGGGCCAGGGCTATTTTTGGGCAGGAACACACAGGAACGGAGTTCCGGCTGGCTCCTGAGTTGGCCACGCCCAGCAGGAACTCATTAGCATAATAGGCCACACCCAACAGCAGAAACTCATTAGGATTGGCTACATTAGGGGTGTGTGGCCTAACATGCAAAGAAGTTCCTGCTACAAAAAAAGCTCTGGGTTTTGACAACAAACAAGGTAAACAGAATAAGCAGCAAAAGGTTGGTGTGGCTGGATGACTCACACTTCTGGTAACATGTGGGTGCGGCCTAATAGGCTAATGAGTGGTGCTGTCATGGGTGTGGCCTAACATGCTAATGAGTTTCTGCTATTGGGTGTGGCCTGTTATGCTAATGAGTTCCTGCTGGGATTTTTCTACAAAAAAAGCCCTGAAGGCAGGTAATAAATGTTTTAAATAAACAGCACTTTCCCCATGTGAGGACTGCTGCTCAGAGCGCTTAGGGTTTTTTTGTTGTTGTTGAAAATTCAGAATTTGAGTACTGAGCTCAGCTAATACAAGAGAATGCCGTGTTACCCCAGTGGGCATGAGGGGGAAGGTTCCTAGTGACAGATGGGCAAATCTCCCAGGGTCAGGGGCTCAGTCTCCATGCTTGTGGTCATGTCAGTCCCGGGCCCCATAGCCTGTGCCACGCTCGTGATGTTCCATGTCGGAAGACAGGTTTCTCCCTCGGTTCTTAGTTTCTACTGAGAGGCGGCCCTTAATGCGTGTTAAAGTCAAATTTTGAAAAAGCCAACCGATTTCCCCAGCTTAGGAGTACAGGAGCTTGGCTCCTTGCAGGGTCCATGTACAGATGGCAGCTTGCTTGGGTGTAAATACAGATGATCTGGAATTTCGACTTGAGACACACGGATGCATTCAGAACGGGCTCCAGTTTTGCCAGTAAAGCGCATTCTGAGTACTCTCTTGGGTTTTTTTTATCAAGAACACTGGATGTTGTCAAGTGAACCAAATGCCAGTTATATGAGATACCTCTGAGAAGCGATAAGAGCCGCCCAGCAACTCTGGGAGCTTAACTCCTTTTCTGGAATTTGATGTATCAGCTACTTAGCTTTTGCAAGCCCACCCTTTTTTCCTTTGGCAAAAACTGAAATGTTTTGGATCTGCACGTGGCTGCGTAGGGCACTCATGAAAGCCGAATCCTGCATTGAATGACGGTGGCCACTGTGCAGAGTTCCCTGTTCATTGTAGAAAACCTAAACATAAGTCTTGGGTATTGTTAAAAATGTTAGGGTCTCTGTCCCCCCCCCCTTCTATTTCACTTCCCCTGTTGCATTTGAAAAGGGCCTTCTACATGGTGGACGCTGTAGGACATGGGCTTTATTTGGTAGGCTGCACGGCATGCTCTTTTTTGTTCGCAGCCGGACATATGTTTCCCAAACCTGTTCAAAGTAGTCATTAGCATGCCCTTTTCTTTAGGAAAGAAGCCGGAAACTGATGAACTGAGCGGTGATGCTTCAGTGGAAGACGACTCCTTGGTCAAGGTAATACCATCATGATTTAAACGAGAGATCCAAACCTAAGCACCCTTTTTTGCTGTCGAGTTGCAGCTGACTTGTGGACGACCAGTGTTCCCTCTAAGCTGAGTTAGTGTAAGCTAGCTCATAGGTTTTTAGCCTCCAGCTCACACATTTTTTTGTCTCAGCTCAGGAAGGATGGCTCCAGAGCAAACTAATTTATGCAGGAGCCAAATCGCTCACTCACAACTTTGATGCCAGTAGCTCATGAAGTAGAATTTTTGCTCACAAGACTCTCCGGCTTAGAGGGAGCACTGGTGGCAACCCAGTATGGTTTTCAGAGCAAGAGACCTTGATGGCTGTCTTCCGTCTCTCGTGCTGACCAGGGCCAGCCCTGGTTAGCTTCCGAGATCTGACAAGGTCAGACTAGCCTGGCGGTCCAGGTGAGGGCAGAGCATTTATAACAGGGAATACATTTCACGGAACTAATCAGGGTCGCTTCTCTTTGCACTGCTTCCCGGATGAAGGCAGCTACCTTTATTCTCACTTGAGAGGAATATTAAGCATTGTTCAGTCTGATCTTGCAGTTGATCACTTTTCTAGTTCTCCAAGTAGGTGACTGAACTCAGTAAGTGAGAACTTGTGTGTGAGTTAGAAGAAATAGAGTGGTGACTGGGCTAAACCTTGAGAGCACGAACCATTTACTGATTGCGAGGAGACCATATTTCTAGCTAGACCTTGCTGTAAGAGTTGCTGGCTGCCAGAGGCTGGTTATATTGAGTGTTATATTGAGTGGTGTTCATCTCTGAAAGGAGTGTGAACTGGAAGCTCAAGAGGCAAGTGACCAGGATGGGAATGATGAATTGAAAGACTCTGAAGAATCTGTGGAAAACGAAGATGATTCCTCAGCATCTAAGGCGTCGTTTCCTGCAGAGAAGAAGAAAGCTCATTCAAAACGGGCGGAAAAGGAGTTGGGAAACCAGGTATGCTGCAGAAACCCTTTGGGCTGAATGTCGGAATGGCATGTAAAAAGTTAATACCTTTGAGGCTTCTCCAGCTCTAGCCTTTTTAAAAAACTTATTGTGCGTGTGTTCTTGCTTCTCAGCCAGCAACTAGCTTCCAGAGTTGATTACAGCTAATAAAATACTGTTTAAAATATAATGTAAAAACTGCTTGGGAAAAGCTATCTCAGCAGGATCTGAACTTGTAGCTGAGAAGAAGGAGACTCAGTGTGGAGATAGACTTAATGATGGTGACTTCCCCCCACTGCCTATAAAGTAATCTACCCAGTTTCTTGTTGTTGCCCTTTGATCAAATGATGCTGGTGGTGGTTTCCATGAGATGTCTCATACTCTGCTGCAGCAGTGTAGCACCAAGCAGTTCTGGAAGACGTCTTCAGCAGTGATCTGGGTGGAGGAGTTAAAATTCCCTCTCTCCTGTGCCTCCCAAGGTTCGGGAGGAAGCCCACCTGTCCTGGCAATTGTGTATTGTGTGGTTCTTCCTTAGAATAAGGGCATTATGAAGTAGCAGCTCAGCTTGAAGAGTGTGTGACACTAATACACAGTGCTCTTTGGTGTACTTTGACAGTGGGCACTTGTGGCTGCAGCATTCTGTTAGGTAACCATTTTGAGAAATTGCGACAAGGCCGACTGAAGCAGAGGGCTGCAGAGTTCCCAGATCTCTCCGAAGGCATCCTGTCAGTTTAGCGTGAATGGCTTCCCTCGTCAGGGTCTGCTTCACCTGTGGCAGCTTGTCAAAATCTGCTGCCGTTGAAGCAGAAAGCCCTGGGACACCCACTTCCTTCTGCAAGCGTCGTGAGTTCCAGTCTAGCCTAGTTAGATTGTCTTGGCTTGTCTCCTCAGGGCACCGATGTTCAAGATGCAGAAGATGACAGCCTTGCTGCTTCTCATGTAAGTTTCTAAATTGCCTCCTCAAAGCTCCTTAGAGAGCAGGCCACGTTTGCATTCCGCCGGAAGGGCCGAAGCGCAAGACTTCATTGCAGCACAGTTAAAGCTTCATAGACCGGAAGCTGCACAGGCGTATTGATATTAAAGCTCTGAACTGCTTGTTTAAAAACCGGTGGAAACTGTAAAACGAAACACAAAAATAGGATGAAATGAGCGGGTAGGAGAATGCCTCAGCAAAGCTGAGAACATTTTTGGTCTTCAAAAAGAGAGCCCAGTGTCACAAAGAAATGAGACTGTGGCTCTCTGCCTGGGTTTTCAAGCCAGACCTTGAGGAAAGAGAACCCGCGGTCTCCTCCAGTTTCTCATATGGCAAGCCCGCAGATCAGCAGCTGTGCCCAAAATCCACTCTGTGTTCATGGCTTTGCTGCCATCAGTCACCAGGCCGGCCGGCCTGTCCCCAGCAAGCTACCAGGTCCTAGACCGGTTGCAGTTCCCAAACAGCAGCACATGCAGTGCATTGCAGAAAAGGCCTCCGCACTCCTAGCGTATGGATAACTATGTCCAGCTCAGCTGTGTCCAGGAGGGGTTGTGGCTGGCCTGCCAGTGCAGGCTGATAAGAGGCACTTCGAGGCATGTGTGTTGTTGCCTGGGCCGAAGCCGCCATCTTGTCGAAGGAGTATGCCCCCTGCCTCCAGCCACCTGCAAGTTAATTTGGGTTAACTGTGAGGGTTCTCAAAAATAGAATTTTGCACTCAGGTACTGTGAAAATACAACTAAGTGAAAAATAAGAAGAATGATAAAATGAAATAGTTGTGAAATGGTAATGAGAAGATACGCATGCAGAATGTTGAACTGGAACTTGAATATTTTTACATTCCCTTTTCTTTTTCTCCTTCCTTTCCCCTTCCATACTTTCTTTATATAAACTAATAAAATCCTCTATAAAAAGAATAGACTTTGTTTCTCAGACTAGTTGTGTGGAAAAAGCAGGAGGAAATTGTTCCTCGCTGGGCACTATGTCTGCCGTTTGCGCAGAAGGGCAGACGTAGGTCTGTAGAGTAGTTTGAACCAGACCATTGGCTGAGCGGCTGCAAAGTATTGCCTGTCTTATTCTTTTAAATGTAGCAGATGCTAACAGTGCAAAAGACCAGTAGTGAAGCCTTTCTGTTCTTTTATCGTTTCTGAAGTATTGGTATTTTGCCTGCTCTGTTTAATGAGAACGGTAAATACTTAGTGGATTTTTTTTTCTGACTTACAGGATGGAGAAGAAGAGAATGAGAGAGGTATGTTTTGAGGTCCAGGACAGTTCAGAATGCTCTAATATACTTGAGGTTGCTTTTGATAAATGGCAGGCACCTTGGCTGTGAGCACCTCTCCCGAGGACAGTGGTTGGATCCATGCTCACAGCTGGCTTTTCTTTAAATCGCACACACACACACCAGTTATTTCACTGCCTATTTGGCCTACCAGGTGCCTGAATGGAGCCAAGGTCCCCAAACGCCTCGGGTATGAACCTTTGAGGTACGGTAAGTCTTGATGTGTACACTTCCCCTGCACTGTAGTAGCTGCCAGCTGCCCTCATGGGAACAAAGCATTCTACAGAATGGAATCTGACAGCCATTCCAATGTGGATGGCGCTCTACTTTTTACTGCACTGGCAAAATGCCCACCTTATGCTTCGTGGTCTCGCGCGAGATCTGTCAACGCTCGGAAGGAGTCTGCTCACTTGTGCCTTTCAAAGCTACCCTGCGGAGCACAGCTTCAGAAAGCAACGCCTGACCCAGCCTTCCTGCTAAAGAAGACCCACAGAGAGCACTCCGAAGGACCTTGCGTATTGGTGGACTAAAGGACAGGGGACCATTGTGACTTCACACGACTGGAGTCATGAAGCTTGTGCACACGTGGGGGTGTAAACTTGGTCTTTGTGAGGAATCCCACAGCAAGAAGCCTCTTCGTGTAACGTGAGAGTGCCACCGGAGGCGCCAACGAGAGAACTGAGCCTATGGACCCGTGTGCACACTGGACGAAGATGAGGAGCCTTCTGTGAACTTTGGCCCAATGTTTGTACTGTACCAATTGCAGCCGACTTCTGCAAGGGCACCGTGGCTGGCAAGTGGCCACTGGGAAGGAAGGCAGGAGGGACACTAGTGCAGCTGTGAAGGATTTGGCTCTTACGCTCTGGTCTCTCGGAAGGATACTGGAAGATGGACAGACTTGTAAATGGACATCTGGGAATATTGACTTGCTGTTGAGCCATGAAGAAGAAGCACCTCTTTGCTCATCACTGCCTGCTTTGGAAGCCAGACACTTGTACCGAAGAACAGGTGTCATGTGGATGGAGCCTGCCCATGTCTGGACTCCTGTTCGGTTTCTGGTACTTGGGTCTAGAAAATTGGTTTGCCATGAAGAATTGAGTGATCCTGGGTAAAGGATTGATTTGTGTGTTAATGCCCCCTTATGTTTTTTTTCTCCTAACCTTCCATCAGTTCTAATAACCGGCTTTGTGTTTTTCTAGGTCCTCTTCTAGCTTTGTGCATATGAAAAATGTTTAAACTTCTCGTTTTGCAATATTTATTCCTGTTAAATCCTCTTAGATAAAGCAGGTTCTGGTGATGGCACACAAGAAGTATCTAAGCCTCTTCCTTCAGAAGAGAGCCTGGCTGAGGCCGATCAGTCGGCTCGCGAAGAGATGGAAGCAAATGCGTCTGGGAAAGAAGCCGAGGACGATAACATATCGGTAACAATCCAGGCCGAAGACGCCATCACTCTGGACTTTGATGGCGATGACCTCCTAGAAACAGGTAAAAATCTGAAAATTACAGATTCAGAAGCAAGTAACCCAAAAGACGGGCAGGATGCCATTGCGCCAAGCCCGGAGAAGGAAGGCAAGGACTATGAGATGACTGAGAACCATAAAGATGGTAAGAAGGAAGACAGCATGAAGGGGGATCCCGTCAAGAAAGAAGCCCGAGAAAGCTCGAAGAAAGCAGACTCTGGAGACAAAGAGAAAGATACTTTGAAGAAAGGTCCCTCGGCTGCTGGGGCCGCTGGTCAAGCAAAGAGGTTTGTCTTTCTATGTCCGTTCTTTAAGATACCTACCAGCATTCAAATAAGATCACACTCTGCATTATGGGGGTAGCAGCAAGAAACTTGTAATTAGTATCTTATGCTCCTGCCTATAAAAATATGTATTGACGGCCATAAGTTACCTGTGTTTAAAAAAAAAAACCACTCGGGATCTTCGTTATATTCTTTATCCTGCTGAGTGCATTGGCGAATTGACAGCATATTATTATTATTTTTTTCCAAGTAGTCAAGTTTTAAGTACCTTTGTGATGATGGTATTGAACAACTCTCAGTTCTAAGAGCACCAAAAAATGAAGCCAAGTCCCAGTCCAGAATGTGGAGAAGATTACCATATATCCACTGAATAAAAATTGTCAGAAAATCTAGATCTTCAGGCGTCCTGGGGAAAATCAGAGCAAGAAGCCATGAGGAGGGGAGAGGAAAAAAAAAATCACATTTCCTCAAATTACAGTCCAGCCCTCACTCGCTTACTTACGTTTCAGAAACGGTTTGCTTTAATAGTGTAAGGTTCTTGGTAAGGAAATGTCACGTGTTCAATTTGCTCTGATTTTTTTTGTTCCTTCTAGCTCTACTAAGGAGTCTAAAGAAAGCAAGACTGCCTCAAAGGATGACAAAGGTAATGGGCCCGGTTCCCTCTTAGATATCTGGTGTCTAGTCATGGGGTGAGTTCTCTGTCCAGTCACACACTTGGAAGACCAGGAGCGGGCAGTGCTTCTGTTCAGGTTTTCCCTTCTCTGTAAGACGTAGTTCTTCTTAGAAAGCCAGTTTGGTGTAGTGGCAAAGAGCAGTGGACATTAATTTGGAGAAACTGGGCTTGATGCCCCACTCCTCCTCCTTCACATGAAGCCAGCTGGGTGACCTTGGGCCAGTCCCAGTTCTCAGAACTCTCGCAGCCTCACCTACCTCACAAGGTGTCTGTTGCGGGGAGGGGAAGGTGATTGTGAGCCACTCCAAGACTCCTTTGGATAGTGAAGAGTGGGGTATAAAACCAACACATCAGCTCTTCTTCTCTGTGGTCTCTGTGCGTCACACGTATGGGATCTCAGGCATGCACCCAGAGTCTCAGAATTTATGAAAGCTATAAAACTGAGCCTTCCGTTCCTAGCAGCTGCTCGTTGCATGCACCTGGAGTGGGCGGAGGCCGTACTTGCCTCTCAGGTCTTCCGTAATAGCTGCAGCAGCTGCCTCTAGGGAGGACCTCCTCATTCTCAGCTTCTCAGATTTTGGCTTTTCCTCTCTTGACTTTGGAGCTTCCTTGAGCATCTGTGAGTTTCATTTTTACCCTTTCCCTGAGGGTCTCAGGTGTTCATTGTTCTTACCTCCATTTATCCTCACAACAGCCCTGTGAGGTAGGTTAGGCTGAGAGAGGAACTGACCCAAGATTGATCCAGTAACCTTCATGGCTGCGTGGGCATTTGAATCCAGGTCTTCCTGTACTTAGATCTGGTGATCTACCCATTGCACAGTGCCGTTGCTTCCATCTCCGTGGCCTTGGATCGGTTACGCTTTGGGGGTGTAGATCAGCCCTTTAAACTACTGATAATGGTATCATTTCAAGCATTAATTAAGCGGACAGAATCTGTAGAGAATCTGATTTCTCTCTTGGCTTTTAGTAAGAAGCGCCTGCTTGACATTTACAGAATTTTTAGCATATTTTTGTTTGTTTACATCATTCGTAGTCTGCCTTTCTCACTTGGACTCAGGGCGGATTACCCAGAGTAAATCAATGTAATCAGCAGGATGGGTTATATTCAGTCATCAGTGCAATAAGATGAGGCTTGAAGAACCAATCAGATCTAAAAATAGTCTGAAGCAAAGTGTAAGTCTTAACGTGACACGTTAAATTATACAAAAATTACATAGTAGGACCCAAGTTTTGGTAAGCTAAACACAGTAGCGTGGACCGTACTCGGAAGGAAGACCACCCATGAAGGCTCTGCAGAGGGAGGCGGTGGCCAGTCACCTTTGCTTCTCACTTGCCTTGAAAGGCCCTTGCCGGGGGCGCCATAAGTTAGCTGCAGCTCAACGACACTGTACACACCAACCCACCCACAGATCCTTACCACTTAATGATTTACACCCCGAGTAGTCAGTCGTCTGCTTCCGTTAAGCACGGGAATAGAACCATGAATAAAGAGAGAGGGTTCCATTGTTGGGGACTTGCACCTCCTCCTTGCTGCATGATCCTCACAAAGCGATATATGAAATCAAAGCATTCTATCGTGGTGCTTGCAATTAAGTTAAATCAAAATACTGTGTACAGCGAATGCAAATCATCATGTATTTGCTGAATATATTACACAGCTTTCTCATGCTAGGGAGATGTCCGGAATATTTGCTGCCACAGTAATGCTGGGTTGCATTCCGTTCTGCTTTTCGTGCATAGAAGCACAATTGCTCTGCCCCCAGTGCTGTTCCGGGGTGGGGGGTGGGATGGGGGTCCCCAGGGCAGCATAAAGGGAAGTTGAAGGGCTGCCACAGCGCTGGAGAACTGGCAAAAATTGTCTCCCCTCCCCCAACCTGTGTGGATCTTTTCAACCCGTTGTTAGTTGCAAATCAAAATATAAATAGAGAACCACTTTGGATGGATGGTTTTCCTTGCTGTGTATTATACTCAGTGACTAATCCTGATTTTAAAAATCACTTTGACCCACCAGCTTGAGCTTGACTTCACAGAAGGTCCCTGGTGGGCTTTTTCATGCCTCTATAAGGTCCGATGATGTGGCTTAATTTCACAAGACAGACTAGAGGATACCCGAAACATTTGTCGTAGCAGTAAGAACCAGGTAGCAGACTTTTTCTCAGGAAGCAATTATCTGGCCGTTTTAATGGGCTCTGGCTAGTCAGTGGCTAACTTGTGGATGCCATTGCTTCTGAGAAATGTGTGAAGTGCACTGAATATCAGTGTTTGCTCTGGTGACGTTAACACCCCCTGTCTTCACGTCCTGCCTATCCAAAGCAAGTAGTACTGCAGACCAGGCCTGTAACCAGGATTATGTGGCTTGTGGGGCAATTTTTTTTCTAGTGGGGATGAAGTTCTCAGTGCAGAAAGAAAAGCCACTTAGCCAATAGAAAGCTGTTACCAGGACATATCTCTAAATTGCAAGCTGTCAACCACTTTAGGTGACAGTCCTCAGCTGCTGCAAGTTAATCACTTCTGCCAGCCTAAGCAACAGTTCTGAGAACAAGCTGGCAGGTGGAGGTGATGACTTCTGTAGTCAAGAAAGCTAACACTTAGGCTGAAAACCTCTCTTAAAGGAGACCAGTTTCTTGACACAGAGTTAGAAGGGATCCTAGAGGACACCTACTCCAACTCAGTGCGGGAATTAGTCCACTAAAGCACCCTACTCTGCTTTTAAAAATGTTTTAAAATGATTGGAAAAGGCATTTACAGGAGAAATTCTTGTGGGGCGGTACCTTTAAGAAAGGGGGCGGAGCCCCTAAAAGCCCCCGGTAGCTATGGGCCTGCATCAGACATCCAGAGTTGTTGGCTGCCACATGAGTGAGCATGTGAAGGCTGTAACATTGTCTTGTGGCTTCTCTTGTAGGCAGCGCAAGCAGTGGCAGCAGCAGCTCAACTAGGAACTTGTGGGTGAGCGGCTTGTCCTCCAACACAAAAGCCGCTGACTTGAAAAACCTCTTCGGCAAGTATGGGAAGGTATGGCTTCAACTCACTGGCTCCTAAGCGGCGCTTGAGTAAGAGATTGCTCTGGGGCCGGGTTGGGATCTTTCTTCTTTCCGTCGAGCCCGTTGCTCCAGCTGCTGCTCCCTCTAGGCCTGGAAGCTGGTTTCCTCATTGTGTATCTCGTGGTCTGTCTTGGGGTGTAAAGACTGGCTTCTGGCCTGTAGTAGAGAAGTTCTCGTTTGTTCATCCACATGCTTCTCTCCTCCCCTTGGTACCAAAAGCTCAGTGAAAGAGGCATGTTTTTGCTGCCCTGCTAAGCCTGCAAGGGAAGGTACCTCACGGGAGGGAGAGTTCGGTAACCTTGGTGCTGATACTGAGAAGGCCCTGCTTAGGCACGGCCACCTGTCGGACCTCCGGTAGTGACACCCGACGGTATCGCGGTCCCAAGCAACGTGGGCCTGCAAAGGGGTCCTATCCAGCGCTTCCAATTGTACCCAGGAGATCAACGCAATCCCAGTAGCTAGCTCCAGCAGTCAGTGGGCTGCCGCATTCTGGACTGAAGGATGTGTCCGGGAACTCTTCGAAGGCCGCCCCACACAGAGTGTATTGCAGCAGTCTAGCCTGAGGCTTATCGAAGCCTGTGTGTAACCGATTCAAGGGCTGCAGCTGATGAGATGGGATCCAACCTACAGCTGCTTCCCGACCCCCTAGGGTAGCAAGGCTGAGTCCCAGGTTGCCCCCCACCCCCCGCACTTCAAACCTGAGTGGTTGACAGAAAGTGTGGCCTCATCCAGAACGGGCTGAATCCCGGACCAGCAGAAAGCCCAGCAGTGACGCTTCAGCCTTTCCTGGATTAATAGTCAAGGTACTCACCCTCGCGCTTCCCCTCGCTGCCTTCAGGCACTGACGCAGACAAGACGTTGACCCAAGGGTCAGCCTACGGGTGGCACCCACGCCTCCTCACCGCCTTACCCACGCTACTGGATTCATGTGGATGTTAAAGAGCACTGGGAGCCTTACCGGGCCCCAAAGGCCAGGGGAAGGGCCAGCCGCCCTCCAGCACCGCTTTCTGGGCTCCGCCCTCCAAGAAGAACTGGATCCGCTGCAGCACAGGCGCCCCCAGTTCAGCAGCCATCGACACGCTTGCTGTTGTCAGTGGTGCTGGAAGCAGCCATCGAGAAGAACAAACAAGGACGTCGTCCCCGCCCGACTCCCGACACAGGTTATATCCGCTCAGCCGTCCGAGGCAGTTTCATCGCCAAAATCTCAGCAGAAGCCTGGCTGATCAGGGCCCAGACAATCTGATTCAACCAAGGGAACCTGGACTTGCGTACCCAAGTGGCCTTGCCCCAGAATGGAATGCCCAGAACGGGCCTAAAGCGATCCCAACTGGTAGTGCCCAGGGTCTTCAAGGGGGTTTGCACCACAGCTTCCCTGATGCTGCCAGGAACCGTTCCCTCCCTCCTAGGAGCCAGCCAGGTCTCTTCTGGTCCATCTCAGTAGCCAGGAAGAGTGAGGATCGAGCATGCCAGAGGCAGGCCTAACGTCTCCCAGGAGCTGGTCCCCATCTTAAGATAGAATCACAGAGTGGGAAGGGGCCATACAGACCATCTAGTCCGACCCCCTGCCCAGTACAGGACCAGCCTAGAGCATCTCTGGCAAATATTCGTCCAGCCTCTTCTTGAACGTGGTCAGTGAAGGGAAGCTCAGCACCTCCCCCTAGGCAGCTGATTCCGCCTTTGAACTACTCTGACCGTGAAAAAGTTTTCCTAACCTCCTGCCGATACCTTTCTGCATGTAACTTAAACCCGTTGCTTTGGGTCCTGTCCTCTGCTGCCAACTGGAACAGCTCCTTGCCCTCCTCCAAAGGACAGCCTTTCAGATATTTAAAGAGAGCCATCGTATCCCCTCCTCAATCTCCTCTTCTCCAAACAAAACATTCCCAGGGCCCTCTGCCTTTCCTCGTAGGGCTCAACCTCCAGACCCCCGATCATCCTCATCGCTCTCTTCTGCACCCTCTCGATTTTGCCCAAATCCCTTTTGAGTGAGGCCTCCAGAACGGCACACGGGAGGACTCCAGGTGCAGCCTGACCAAGGCAGTCTACAGAGGGGGCTATGACCTCCTGCGATTTCGATGCAGTGGCCCTTCTAACACAACCCAAGACTGAATTTGCCTCTTTTTTTTACCACCACACGTGCTGGAAAGCGTGCAATAAGACTGTGCAACTGGTCGTTCCGGCTCCATTCGGCAGCACTCCCTTCCCGCTGTGGCATTTAGATGCAAGCGGTCCCATCCACAAAATGTTCTGCAGCTGTCAAGGGCACAGAGAGGCAGCCGTGAGGCTCAGTACGGAAGAGACCCCCTCGCACAGTGCCGAGGCAGTGGCTGCAGATGTGGTCTTTCCTTCATCGCCACAGAATAGGCTCCGATAGGGGTGGCGGCCTGTGACCTGAGGCTGGGGTTCCCCACGGAGTACCTCTCCTGCCGTGAGTTAAAGCTCCCCAAGGCAGGCGGTGAGAGAGAGAGGCCTGGAGCTAGATCAGAGGACAGGGTCCCCAGCATGGTCCCCCGGGGCACTGTGGCCCCTGTTTCTAGAAAGTGGGTGGGACCAGGTTGGCCTGTTGCCGAGCAGGCCTTCCGATTGGCCCCTGAAGATCTAATTAAAATAACACCGTTTCAAGGGGCAGCTGCCATGACCGTGTTTGTTCTGTGTTCTCGCCCCTCTTTCCCAGTGCATTTTTAGTCGCCCCTCTTCTCCCCTGCACTCGGGATTCTTTGCTGTGTGTGTGGTTCCACCACCTGCCGCAGCCGTTTTGTGGTTGTGCTCAAAGCCCTGTGTCAGTATTCCAAAGGTGAACATATGAGGCTGTCTTTTACTGACTCAGACCCTGGGTCTGTTGAAGTCAGTATTGTCTACTCCGATGGGCGGCAGGTCTCCCGGGTCTCAGGCAGAGGCCTTTCACATTACCTTCCTGCCTGGTCCTTTCAGCTGGAGATGCCGGGGATTGATCCTGGGACCTTCTGCATGCCAAGCTGATGCTCTGTCACTGAGCCCCCAGTCCAGGTTTCCACTGGCTCAAAAGGTTGGGGGACTCCTGTCCTAGTAGCCAAGGCTGGACCTTCTGATTCCAGCTGCCAATGGTCTGGGAAGTGGTGGCTACAGCTCTGTTCCCTGGAAGTCTGCAGCGAAACTGATGCAACTCTCTAGTCTTACAGTTTGATTACCCAGCCTGGCCTGTGGAGGGACCAGGGAGCGGGCACAGTGAGAAAGCACCAGATTACGAAGGCCTGTCTGTATCCCTTTTCACCACCATAACTCACAGCATGGCCGTCGTTTTCGCTGGGCTGGGCTGGCCTGATGGAAGAACGATTCCGTCTTTCCTTGAGAACTATTCTACTTGGAAAGCTGTAGCTTATATAAGATGTAGTTGAGGTATAGAACACCTGGCAGATATCCCCCTCCCCCAAGGAACATTTGCTTACCTAATCCTTAAAGGCGTATAAGGTGTATGCAAGTCGTTTGCATACAAATGCTCTCACCCCGGCCTTGCTGCCCAGAACGGAGAGCAGCGATATGACGGAGGGATCAGCTTAAAACCTTGACTTGCGTTTGGTCTCCGTTCCCAGGTCCTGGCTGCCAAAGTGGTCACAAATGCCCGCAGCCCCGGAGCCAAGTGCTACGGCATCGTGACCATGTCCTCCAGCACGGAAGTGGCCAGGTGCATCGCCCACCTTCATCGGACGGAGCTGCACGGGCAACAGATCTCCGTGGAGAAAGTAGGTGTCCTGCTCCCTGGCAGGCTAGGAACAGTTCACGGAGTGGGGGGGAGAGGCACCCCGAAGCGATCGTCCCTTCCCGATAGGGCAGCCACACGCCGGATTCCTGATCTGTGTCCCACTTCCATCCCACGCCAAGCCTTGAAGGCGATCTGCCAGTTCTTGGGCACGGTCTCTCTGGGAAAGGAGACGACTGGCCTGAATGAACTCACTCCGAAACAGTCGGGGGTCTTGGGGGCGAGGCCCGTCTAGTGCCAGTCATGCTCCTTTTGTGTGGTTTGGCGCTCTGGTGTGTTTGCATATTTGCAGCGTGCCTATGGGCATGGGCTCCCAAATACCCTCCTTGAGATGTTGGACTGGAGTGGGTTATCCATAGTACCCCCAAGGCCCAGCAGACGTCTCCTCCAGCCTCTTCCTGTTCTGACAGCCAACCAGCAGCTGGCCTGGATGCGCGACAAAAAAAACATTCCCCTCTGACCTTGATAGTAAATTGGAAGCTTGTCACCAGTTGTTTTGGTTCTGGGGGAGCATGTTCTGCGAGACCGAGATGCCCCGCCTGGCAACGTGTCTGTCCCATCACATGCCTTCTTTCAAACGGCAGGTGAAAGGCGACCCTTCCAAGAAAGAGATGAAGAAAGAGAGCGACGAGAAGTCTAGCTCCAGCAGGAACCCCGGGGAGAAGAAGACGACCTCGAGCGACAAAGCCAGCAAGTAAGCCTTGTCTGGCTTGGGCGGGCTTGAGTACCGCTCGTCTGAGGACGGGAGAAGCCTCAGCCCTTCTGGGCAGCGGTGAAGCCCCCTGACAGTGGGGGAGTGGCTTGCCTGAATTCTGCTGCCTGGCGGGGCAGAGAAAGCTGCCTTTTGACTGCCCCCCCCCCTTAGACTCTGTCAGGCATCTCCTGCGTTTGTTCAGACCCATCTGGGAAATTGATAGGACAGACACCTTGGTTTGGGTGGGGGGACCCCCAGTCTTTATAATTGCACCCCACAGACACGCAGCGGAGAGACATGCGTAGCCTAGAAGTGTGTGTGTATAGACAGCTGTGTTATCTCACACCGCCAAACCTGTTTGAATTTCGGTTGTGTGGACAAGAAGACGTGAGCGAAGTCCCTCCTCTTCCGACATGCAAGAGGGAACGTGGCAGGGTGGGGCGTGTGTGTGGACGCGGTGGGCTGGTCTCCGGGGGGGGGGGGGTGTGTTTGGGGGCCCGGGGGGCTGGTCTCCGGGGGGGGGGGGCAGAGCTCCCCGAGTGCTCAGATTGGCTCCCACCGCCCCCTGTATTTATTTATTTATCTATTTGAATTTTTAGGCCACCCTTCCCTGCAAGCAGGGCTCTGGGCAGCTTACCCCAAAGGTCAATGCAATAAACAAGTTAAAGCCAGCAGTAAAATAACACGATGCGTATCAGCAAATAAAACAATCCATTCCAAGATGGCAGGGGAAATTTCAGCTTCCACAACCCTCCTGGGGGAGTTGCGGAGAACGGAGGGGGTGAGAGTGTCAGACTGCATGTTGTCCCGTCACTGTCCTCACCCGAATGCCTTGCGGCACATCTCTGCCTTCCATGCCCTGCGGAAAGGTAACAAATCCCGCAGGGCACGGATGTCCTCCAGCAGAGAGTTCCACCGGGCGGGGCCCAGGAACTGCCATGAGGTGTTCTTACTTCCTGAGCGTAGCGCTCTTCTGGAGGCACACTGAGAGAGGCGGTCCCGAAGGTATGTGGGTCCCCGACCACTAAGGGCCTCAAAGGTCAAAACCAAAACCTTGGACCCGATCCGGTGCTCCACTGGAAGCCTGTGTAGCTCGTGCAGCACAGATCGAATACGTGCCATCCGAGGGGTCCCTGTAAGGACCCACGTGTCCACATTCTGGGTCAGTTGGAGCTTCTGGGTCAGTCTCAAGGGTAGGCCCACGTAGTTCACGTTACAGTAGTCTATCCCGGAGGTGACCGTTGTATGGATTACCGTGGCTAGGTCAGGATGAGACAGGTAGGGAGCCCGTTGCCTAACCTGACCTAGTTGGAGAAACGCCAGCCTGGCAACCTTTGCAGCCTGGGCCTCCATAGACACGGTGGCATCCAGAGTCACGCCCAGACTCCTGACCGTCAGTGCTGGCTGCCATCACTCCATCACTCCATCAAGAGTCAGAAGTTGACAACCCAGCTGTGCCCCCCCCCGCCCGGCCCCCCCCCCCAGGCCCAGAACCTCTGTCTTACCCGGATTCAGTTTCAGCCGACTCTGCTCTAACCAGTCAACCTCCAAACCTTTGGCTAAATTCATGGGAACGGCATCCGGCCAGCCGCCTGTCAACAGAAGTAGCTGGGTGTCATCAGAGTACTGATGGCATCGCAGCCAGAAACTCCACACCAGCTGGGTGAGGGGGGTGCATATAAGATTTTAAACAACGTCGGGGAGAGAAGTGCCCCCCCCCCCCCAGGAACCCAGCGTACCTCCTGGTTTCAGCCTCCGCAGAGCCCTGCTTACGGCTTGCTTCTTTTTAAAAGGACCCCCTCCAAAAAAGACGATAAGAGATCCGACAAGTCCGAGAAGAAAGAGAGCAAGGACAGCAAGAAACCTGAAGGTAAAGATGAGAAGAGCGATAACGGAGCCAGCTGCCCTGCGCCAGAGCCCGCTAAAACACCTGAAGACAAGAAGCGAATCAGTAGGCATTTCCAGCTGTTCTCTTTACAGCTTAGTTTTCCGCGTGGGGTGGTGAACCCGGGATTCTGGGGTTGCAGCCTTGTCTCCACAACAAGGAGGCAGTGAACTCGGGGGGGGGGGTTGTGTTGGTTGTGTCTGTTCATGTAGCCTCGTTGTGATACTTTAGCTAGGTAAGGGGTTGACGTTGTGAGACAGAACCCCTGAACCTCCCTTCCCGCCCTGAGATTGACAGTCCTTTTTCTCCTCCCCTTTCCCCCCCTAGAACAGTGGCTGGGGTTTCTGCTGCGTGGACCGCTCCCACGCTTCCTATTGTTTTGGGGCGTGGTCTTAGGAAGTGAGGCTGTTCCCCCCCCCCCCTAGAAACACACACACGTATTGGCCTAGCAAAAAGTCTGTCTTTTGTGTTGCCTGTGAGTGATGGCGTGTCTGTCTTGTCTTGCCTCCCCCTGGCCCAGGCGCGAAAAGCCCCAGTCACATGGTAGTCCTTGACCAAACGAAGAGAGACCAAGTGCACCCACGGCCATTTCGAAGGGGGAGGTTTGAAAAGGTGAGTGTCGCGTGAGCTTTCCTTCTCACTTGGTGAGGTTGCCCGGGGAGGGGGGGTGGGTGTCACCTCGGAAAGCCACTTGGTCAAGATTTGATAAGTGAGGTCCAGAGCCCACCGTTCTGCTGCTGTGAGATTAAGAGTGGTGGGAATTCACTCCTGCCAAGTCCTTGTGCCTCAGTCCAGATGGCTGCGCAAAAAGTATTTCACATCAGTGAGGAAGGGTGAAGGGTGGAGCATTTGCAAGCGGAGGTGGAGGGGTGCACGGCTTCCTGGGATGGGGGGTGGTGGTGCTGTGTTGGTTTTGTAGTTCGGAATCTGGAGTTCTTGGGCCCCCGGGACACGTTCTGGAAGGCCCGCTGACTTCCACGACAGCCATGCTGTGAACGAGCCGCTCTCACTCCAATGCTGTCAAACCTCTCTCTCCCCAGCCACCGATGATGAGGAACAAAGAGCGCTTTTTCCCAGACAAAATGAAGTTCCGAGACTACAGAGCCCGGAAGGACATCTTGCCCTTTGAGAAGATGAAAGAGCAAAGAATGCGGGAGCACATGGTTCGGCTGGAACGGATACGGCGTGCCGTAGAGCTCCGCAGGTAGGGACCGGGACTTTGTCCTGCAGAAGAGGGGTGTTGACTGCATGGTCTTGGGCTGTGGGCTTCCCTTCCACGAGTTGGAGAAGAAGCAGCACCCGGAGGCCAGGGCTACGCGAAAGCTTGTCCATTTGTGCTTCTTAAATGTGCAGGTGATGCCGGGTGTGTGTGTGTCCTTTCTGCGATCCTTCAGAGTTCCAAGCATGTGCTGTTGTTGGAGACCCATGTGGCAAATCAGTGGCCCCAGCCCAGGTTTTAGAAAAAGCAAAGACCTTCCAAACAGGACAGCAGCGATTCTGCTGGCCACCAAGTATTACATTTCGGATTCGGGATTAGATGAGGCCTCCTGTGCCTTCACTGGCTGCCCGGCGGGCACCCTGTCTGAATTGGCAGGAGCCCCCTCTGGTGTGGTGCTGACGATGGCTGGACTGGTCGTTCTCGGGAACATCAGCATTCGTGCTGGAGAGACCTTGCAGGAGAGGGCCTAGAATTGCCTTGGGCCTCTCTTAGATCGTGTGGGGTCCAACGCAGGAAAGAGGTCACACCTTTTGCACTGATCCTCTGAGGGAAGGCTGGGTTTCCTGGTTGGAGATTCAGCCTGAACCGTGGCCTGACCACCGTCTACCCCAGGCGAGGGTGAAAGGGGCCCTAGCCACCCCCCTGGGGAAGAGGGCCCAGTTAAAAAGGGTCCACCCACGGAGGCTCATGGATCCTACTGAATTCCAGAACCCTGAGGGGGGAGGGGATTTTGTGGCTCCACATATCCACGTTCTGTGGAGGTGATAGTGGGAGCTTGGAACTGAAGCGCCTCAGAGCTGTTGACAAACTGAAACTCAGCCCAGACAGGATGGAGGTCATGGTGGAGAGTGGGAAGGGGTTTGTGACCCCCACTTTCATGGGGCCAGGTGAGGCAGGCAGGGATGGGGATGGTCACCCCAGTGGTGCCGCCCCTGCTCCAGGCGTGCCTTGGTAGGAATTCTCTTACGAGACAGGCTCCCCTCGCCCTGGGTTGTCTGCGCCCGCTCTGCTAGCGGGAATGCAAAGCTTGCTCTCCACGGAAAGAGAGGCTCTTCTTCCGGAGGGAAGTGCCTTCTGCTGGGCAAAGGCTGCGCCCGTAGTGGAGTCTGTAGGAGGAGCTGGATGCAGCCTCTGGTCTACCTGGTTCTGAGGGAGAGAAGCGGGACTTCATCCGCCTTGCCCTGCAACACGTGAGAGCACTCCAGGGCTCTTTCTGAACAGTGTGGTCTGCAGTGTTGTCTGTAGCATGGCCTTCACCTCTAAGGCAATCTGTGTGACACAGAGTGTTGGACTGGATGGGCCTTTGGCCTGATCCAACATTGGCATCTCTTATATTCTTATGTGTGCCTGTCCTGGAGTAGTCTCAGGGAGCATTGGGCTCTGTGGCTGTCAGAAGCCACCCCAGCTCTCAAACCCCCACCTTTTGCAGGCGAAGAGAAATTGCTGAGCGTGAGCGACGCGAGAGGGAACGCATCCGACTGATCCGCGAGCGCGAGGAGCGTGAGCGCTTGCAGAGGGAGCGGGAGCGGCTGGAAATCGAGAGGCAGAAGCTAGAGAGAGAGCGGATGGAACGCGAGCGCCTGGAAAGGGAGCGCATTCGTATCGAGCAGGTATCAAATGCCCCCCTCCCACTGTCGTTGCGCGGGGATCTGCCTGCCCAGTCGTGATGTGAACTTCCTTTGAAAGGCCCCCCTGGTTAGCTGAGGTCACAAAGGCTTCCGGATGCTTGACCGGGGGGGGGGGGGGTCCTCAGCCTCATGAACACCGCGGTGCAAGGAGAGCAGCGTTTTGCCCTTCTGCTGCTTGCTTGTTCCTTGAAATGTGGCGGGATTGTGTGGACCCTCGGTCTGTGTGGATCTCTTGGAACATGGGAGTCCCCTGTGGGAGAATGAGCAGGGAGCAATCCCCTCGTGGACATGGAAATGCCGCTTGTGGGAGAGGCCGACGTGGATCCGGGCCCATATAGTCCTGCGGGAGCTTGCCTGCGTATCTGTTCCACTGGTTGAAAAGTTCCCCTTTCTGCCCTTGGCGATAAATAATGTGTCGTGAGCGTTATCTCTCTTTCTACACACAGTAAACAGCTTTATCCAGTTTCAAGTGGGCTTGTGGAGGGGGGGGGGTTGCACAGGGACTGTCACTTGGGAGCTGTGGGGAATGGGGCAGAAGATGAGTGAAGTACATGGGCCCGTTCTGGCCCTGAGAAGGCTCTGGTCAGCCTTTGGGCGTTCTGGAGCTTTTAGGAAAGAATGTCAAAACATTGGGTCTTCTGGGGAACTGTTGCGCATTTTGTAGTGATCCCAGACGGTGGGGTGCTCTCCTCTCCTCTCCCTCCCCTGGGAAGCAGGCTGCAGTTTCTGAGAAGGTGGGGCTGAGGACTTAACAGCCTCTTAGCTGTGTCTTTGGGTTGGAATCGTGGCTGGCTCTGTCCCTGCAGTCATCCCCTGAGACCACCAGTCCCCAGCGTGGTGATAAATAATGTCACACAGACTCTCAGTGAAGGCTTTTGACAAGGTGCCTGCAATCTCTGTCCCGGCTAGGAGCGTCGCAAGGAAGCCGAGCGGATCGCTCGGGAAAGAGAAGAGCTCCGGCGTCAGCAACAGCAGCTCCGTTACGAGCAAGAGAAGAGGAATTCCCTGAAACGACCTCGCGACGTCGACCACAGGTAGCTCACGTTCCTTTTCAGACCGGGGGCATTCCTCTTCCGAAGCTGATCCTGGCTACTCAGTTACTTAAGGGGTGAACAATGCCTGGCTTGTGTGTAGAATGGGGCGTCCTCCTTAAACGATCGTGGACCATCAGGACAAAGTATAGCAACTTGGTGTGAAACGTTGTGGGGAATTTCCCGGGTACTGGCAAGCCACAGGAACTGCCGGGTGCGAAGAGGGGGAGGTTGCCATTTGTGAGACGGTGTTTCAGCGAGGGCCCGACCTGTTGATTTGCTGGAGGCCGTAAGGTAGCAGCAGCACTCGGATCACACCTGTAATGTTCCCCTTCGTCTTCCGGCAGGCGAGACGAGCCCTATTGGAACGAAGGCAAGAAGATGGCCTTGGACACCGACGCTCGGTTCAGCCACGGCTCCGAATACAACCGACAGCAGAACCGGTTTAGTGACTTTGACCACCGAGAGCGGGGCCGGTTCCCAGAGGGCTCTTCCGTGCCCTCCTCCTCCTCCTCCTTCGAAAGGTGTGCGTGCGAGGGAGCGTGGGGGAGAAGGGAGGTTTTCCTTTCCGGGGCATCCATGGCTCTGTAGCGTAAGGCCGCCGGGAGTACCCTGCTATGGCTTACCGTGTGAGTAAGCTTCACACTGCCCCGCTAAGGCTGTGAGGAAGGGTGCCTTGGAAGCCAACGGAATAAAAACCATTCAACAATAAAATGAAAAAGTCAGGAATGGATCGGCAAAAGCGGTGTAACACACTGAGGGCGGTGTCCATGGAGAGCGGGATCTTGATCCTCAGAGTGGCAGGTTAAAAGGGATGGGCTGAAACTTCTCCTCGCCCAGGCTCTAACTGAGGCTTTTGCCTGGTGCTTAAATAACAGTAAGTGTGCCAACCCTGATCTGGGTAGCCCGGGCTAGCCCAGTCTCGGGAGGTCTCAGAAGCGAAGCGGGGTCGGCCCTGGCTAGTATTTGGGTGGGAGACCTCCAAGGAATACCAGGGTCGTGATGCAGAGGCAGGCAATGGCAAACCACCTCTGAACACCTCTTGCCCTTAAAGGCCCACTGGGGGTCACCATAAATCAGCTCTGACTTCAGGGCACCTTCGGCCAGGTGTGCCCGGCTGGCCTCAAGGGAGAGAGCCCCCTGCGGAGGGGCACAGAGCAGGCGGGGCTTAACTGGCAGGGGAGGCGGCCTGTGCGGTGACACGTAGCAGTTGGCTGGCACCTACCGCGTGCCCGCGCATCATCTCAGGGAGGGCGAGCAGTGTGGTCTCCTGTAGAGAGCTCCTGGCCGGCCAGAGACCTGGATCGTGGGGTCCTCTGGCTCCCGTCTCTTTCCCCTCCCCCTTCACTGCACCAGGGCCGTAGATGCTGCAGCCATACAGTTCCTCACTGCTGCAGAGCTTGTGGAGGGTGCTTTGGGACGCAGGCGTAGAGGGTGTCTCCTTGAGACAGTCTGCCCGAGAGCCGGTTGTCATGGGTGAAGAAGGTTTGGAGGGTCTTTGAGCAGAGAGAGGCCCCGGAGGGTGGCCCGCAGAGGTCAGGAAGGAGCGTTAATCTGACCTCCTCTCTGCCTCGCTGGACAGGCGCGAGCGGTTCGTCAACGAAGGCGAGGGGAAAAAGGCTCGGCCCACTGCCAGACGAGAGGAGCCGAACTTTGAGCGGTACCCCAAGAACTTCAGTGAATCTAGAAGAAACGAGGCCCCCCAGCCCCGGAACGAACTCGGGGACACAGACCGGCGGGAGGTCAGAGGAGACCGAGACGAGCGGAGGACTGTGATCGTTCACGAGAGGCCGGAGATCCCCCACGGCCGCCACCCGCGAGAGGCTGGGCCCAACCCGCCCCGGCAGACCTCGTGGAAGAGCGAAGGAGGCCTCAACCCCGACAAACGAGACGCCAGGTGACTTTTCCTCGGGGGGGGAGGGGGGAGGACAAAAGCCAAGCTTTCTCAGCAGCTTCCAGGAGATTCAAGGTCAGATCCTTGCCCCACTCTGCCCGTTGGCTGAGAACAGTGCGGTTTTGTAAACGCTGAAACCCAGGAAGCCTTGAATGGCTCGGCTTTGACGCCGTCCCTGTTGGTTAGGGGAGGGGCTGTGGCTCACTGGCACAGCATCGCCTGTTAAGAGGACCGGGCAGTAGGGGTTGTGAAAGACCTCTGCCTCAGACCCTGGAGAGCGGCCGCCGCTCTGGAAAGACAAGACTGACCAGGGGTCTGAGTCAGTCTATAAGGCAGGTTCAGGTCTTTATATCTGATATGCTTTAAGAGGCTTCCAGAGCCCATAGAAATAGACATTTCTTTTTAATCCTTACCAGATAGTATGTTAACTTCCTCCCCCCACCCGTAAAAACCCGCAGTTGAGGGGGAGAAATATAAGAAATAGTTGGGTGTCACCTTGAATGAGTGAACAGAGTGTGTCGCAGAATGATGATGACCCGTAGAGCCCTGCTGCCAGGGAACTCCCCCCCGCCCCGCCCCGAAAGAGAAGAGCAAACTTGTGTGGACAGGCTGTCTTTGTCAGTGGTCGAGGGTGCAACATTAAAAAAGCAACAATCCATATCAGTAATGTGAGAACCATTTACAGGGTTCCATCTTTGCTAGTTAGCATTCACGCAAGACCCTCTGGGTCAAAAATATTGTCAGTGCAGCATCAACTATTTTCATTGATGTTGTTTGACCATGCCCAGCCAGTATTCCTCACAGACTTATTTTCAGTGACCTAAAATATAGGTGTGTTTTGTTTTAATTGCCAATGGGATTAAAAAAATAATAATAATTAGCCTAGAAAGAACACTGACCGTAATAACATAAGTGATCAATTTTCGATTTTCGGCATGCACGCTCAGAGGTAGCACACGCTACCGAGAAGGATACAATATTGACATTAACAAAACTGGTTTTCCGTTGCCCAAAACGGGCAACATAAATCCAAGGAGGTTTGAAACTCTCTGTCCTTAGGCCATCGACAATAAATCCAGAAAGGAATACTGGCTGGGTGTGTGTGTCTTCCAGTGCTTTGTATTGCTAATATAGTTCAACTCTGTGTGGGTAAAATGTCAGCTGGCAAAGATGTAGTCTCTAAGCAAGAACCCTGTACATGGTCTTCACAGTTTCTGAAAGATGAGTAAGCTTTTTAAAATAGATGTCTGAAGACACTTGCTTGTTTGGTCTTTCGTTTCCTTGTGCTTAGCTGCAGGTCTCTGCATGTCATGGATTTTTTCTTAAAGGGTATTTTGTTTAAATCCTGTTGTTTGCCCTTGGTTTGTGCATCGTTTGCGGTCTTGTTCTCCCCCTCCTTTCTTACACAATATCCTGCCTACTCAGGGTTCGCTTTCTGTCCCTTTTGTTTGGAAGTTCCCTGAGCGGAGGGGTTCCCCCACCTTTCCTCGAGGGTTCCAGGGTAGTCAGCAAGGACTTGAGTTTGACTGGGTTGGGTTTGGTGGACTAAGGAAGTCGGCCAACTGGTGAATAGGACACCTTGCCGGATTAGCTAGATTCTTTCCCCCTCCTTTTAGAGACAAAACCGACGTGTGGTGGTGATTGATAGGGCTTTGTTTTGTAGTCGTGCTAGCTTGGGGAAGAATGCCCCCGTGGAGCTGTCCGAAGCTGGGGGGGGGTCCATTTGTGGGTCTGGGGAAAGAGAGGTTCTGTCTCCAGAAGAATAAGCTAGCAGTGAAATCCACTCTGTAGAAACCTTCCGCTTGGATCCAGATCTCTAGACCTTCCTGGAGTGGGGCTTCTGTGGCTGCAGTTGTGGCCTTGTATCTTAAAGGCCCTTACCTTGGTTTTGCACGGAGGGGCTCCAGCCTTCTGGGTGGCCTATACCAGGAGGAGTGGGTGAGAACTCGACGTTTGGCTCCGCTTTCAGTCTTGCTGGAGTAGAACTGTGCTCTCCAGATGAGCCGCCGAGCCCTCCCGGCATCTCATCAGGGTCTGTGATGATGAGCCTGTGTCAGTGGGAGAGCTTGAACTCGAACAGGCCCAGCAAAACTGAGGCTGGAGTGAGAGCCTTCCAGTGCCTCGGGGGAGTATGCGAGAGTGGTCGGTCTGAGGAGTTCAGCAGCTGTCACGGCCGTGCCGCGAGAAGGGTGCCCAGTGACTGACTGTAACCTCCTCTCCTCCAGGGAGAGGCCAGAAAGGTCCAGCCGGGAGGTTCCTGGGCATACAGTGAGAGGCACTCCCACGGGGACCCGCAGCAGCACCTCCGGCTACGGAAGCAGGGAGCCCGAGCGCGGTGTGATGGAGCGAGGAAGTGGGGGACAGGTAGGTCCGAGGTCTCCGCTCGCCTGGCAGAGTGCCTCTCGCAGCCCAGCTGCTTCGTGTGCCGCCTGATCCTGGGTGCGCCGCCCCTGTGAGTCTTGGGCTGGCTGCTCTGTGGGGGGCGTCTTCTGGGGCACGCTTCCTCCCCACCTCTCTCCTTCCCAAGCTGAGCCCTCTGGGTGGCCAAGAGCACAGAGTGGTGGTGCGCAGACACGCCAGAATAATCCCACTCCCCCTAACACTGTGACTAGGTAGCCAGCAGCAGAAGGTGGCCAGCTGAAGCCAGGACAGTGGCCGCCGCCACCCCCCAAGAGCCCTGCTGCCGCCCAGCTCCCAGGCGCTGTTCGCACTCAGAGCTGGCTCCTTCGGTGGGAGAAAGTGCTCTGAACCCCGAGGGCTCCTGGGCCCCCTGCCCCTTGAAGGCGCCACAAGGCAGCATCCAAATCCTCAGAATTCGAAATGGTCTGGAAACCAGGAAGCAGCCACCGAAGCCATGTGTTCCCTGGCCCGTAGCTATGCAGCTGCTGCTTCTAGTTAGGGTCCGTGGGTGTTGGGCTGTAAAAGTCTATCTGAGTCGAAACGGTGTCCTCCCAGCAGCCTCAGCCGGGTGGCTATTGGCGGGGCCGGCCCTGCAGGCAGGTCTCTCCGCCCGTCCAAGCACTTCCTGTCTTTCATCTGGCATTGAACTGGGTGGGGGTCAGCTTTGCCCGTGGGAGAGTCTGCCTGGTGATCCCCTGCCAGTGAGTGCGTGGCCTTCTCCATGGGCCTCTCATGGGAGCACCCTCCAAGGAGGCCTCTGCTCAAGTGGCAACGGTTGCTTGGCGTCAGTCCTGTCTCCCATCCCCGCTTGTTTCGGGAGGCTCAAGCTTTCTGCGCAGGGAGCAAGTGGGGGGACACAGCCTGCAAGTGCCCCCCCCCCCGGTGCCTTTTGTGTTGCCGTGCACCATCCAGTCTCAGTGCTGAGCATGACGTGGAGCTCCTGCTGCAGAGCCCAGCTGGAGCTTCTGTCCTTGGCTTTCCCCGGGGGACCCATACAGGGCAGGGCATCCCTGCTGCAGAGCTTGTTCTAAAGACCCTAGTCCCCGGGGCACCTTGCGTGGCTTGCCACGTGTGGCCAGGCCTCACTCAGGGCTTGGGCGCCAGCAAAGTAACCGTCCCGCTTTCCTTCCCAGCATTACAACGAGGACCGCCACGTGGTTGAGCGGCACAGCCGCGACAGCGGGCCCAGGAAGGAGTGGCACGGCCCCAGCTCCCAGGGCAGCGGCTACCACAACCCCAGGCGGATGGGCAACAGCCGGGCAGGAGGCGGCATGATGGCCCCCCACTCAAGGTACCCGCTTCCCCTTCCCCCCGGGCTCTGAGAGCGGAGAGCACGCGTCGAATCAGGATTTGTGGGGCTCGGCTGCACAGCTGTGGAGCTGGAGGTTGTGTGGCTTGATGTAGAACCCGGGAGCACAAGTCGGCCCGTAAGCCTGTCAGGATTCCTTAGCTGTTGGCGAGTCGCCATCGCCCTCCTTGGGGGGGGCAGCCTTCTGCCCGCAGGAAGCTCGGGGGGGGACACACAGCCCGGGGCCTCATGCCAGCCTGAGGCCCACTTCTTGGGGACACCTGAAAAGAAGCCCCCTCCCCCCCCCCGGAGGCATTTGCGCAGCTTTCGTGACCTCCCCCCAGCTGCACATCATTCCAGTTCAGAATGATGTGGAGGAAATGCAGACAGTGTCCTTCTGCCATCTCCCCCTCCCCACATACAAAAGCACACCTGGAGTGGTGTTCTATCCCTGAGGCGTCCCTCTGTGTGTGTGTGTGTGTGTGTCCGTGTCCCAAGAGCAGTAGCTGTTCCTCCCTTGTTGGCGTGCCCTTCTCACCAGGGTTCCTCTAAGCTGAGTTAGTGTGAGCTGACTCACAGTTTTCAGCCTCTGGGGGAGCTTGCAATGCTCAGCCATTTCATGTTCTTCCCCTGGGCCCTAGGCTCAGACCATTTATATTTGGGGGTGGGGGGGACTAACTACTGTTAAAATATAGAGTTCAACCAACTCAAGGAACTCCAGTTTTGCAGGGAAATATTAGTTTTAACACACACACACACCCTCCTAATGTGTGGCTCCAGCGGAATAGCTGCTGTAATATCGTTGTGTTTTTCTGTGTCCTTTATAAAGTTTCTCTCTCTGCTGCCTGGCATTACATTTTATGACACAACAAAATCCCATTTACGTCAAATCCGGACCTCATAACAAATGAGTTCGATACCCCTGGTGTAGAGCCATCTCATTGCACTTTCCTAAAGCCCCGTTGAAGTGAGCATCTGAAGACTCAAAAAGTTGGCACCTAACCGTTTTCTTCCTTCAACTTTCTTTCCAGTAATTCTTCGCCCATTAACAGAGTTGTACAGATCACGGGCAATTCCATGCAGCGGGGGAGCAGCTCCGGATTCAAGCAATTCAAGGGCGGACCGCCGCGAAGATTCTGAGCCCTCCTTCGCCCCTCGGTTTCAAGATAACTTATTGGAAACCTCTTGTGAACAAGAAGCCTTGGCTTGAACACCTTGTATTTTTTTTTTAATTTTAACATAATTTCCCCCCCCCCTCTTGTGGAGGCATTTTAAAACAAGTTAGGTTGTTGGGTTTTGGATAGTTCCTTGTACCTTTGGATGAGCGTCTCCCCCCGTAGCACTAGGAGCACGGAAGTCTGAATTGAACATGTGGCAGCTGCCGTTTGGAGGGAGGGCTCATTTTGCGCCTGTAGTTTAATTTACCAGCATTAGCTCTGTGGTGTATCAGGCTTGACGACTTAGGTACTTCTCACACAACTCCCTCCCTAACCAAGCTGTACACCCCCACCCCCCATACCGCTGGTAGAGACCAAGGTTGGGTTGGTTGCATTTCCGGGTCTTATTATGTAACCTGTTTTTTGCAGAAGTTGTTCCACTGAGTGAATCTGTATCCTGGCTTATGTACCCTTTTGAAATAAACCTTCATAATCTATAAAAGCTGTCTGGAATGTCTGCTGGTAGGGAACCGGGCGGGCTGGCTGTCGATTGGTAGGCGGCTTCCTCTTTTTGCCGTCCCCTGCGGCTTGAGGTCAGATCCCAATAAAGCCAAACATGCAAAGAAGCAGTCTGCGTAAATGCAAGCTGCAAGACACTAACCCCCCCCACACACACACACAAAACAGAGCCTTGCACACTAGCCTGTTTCATGTGCTGGTGGAATCGGGGCTTGAACAGATGCCGGGTCGTTGTTTGAGCTGCAGAAGCCGTTTTAGTTCTACCAGCCTGTATCCTTTGCAGGAGAACCTAGGCCAGCCTAATGTAAGAAGCAAGCCGTGGGCTCGGGGCCTACTTCCATTTATGGCTAACTTTTCTCCTCCATGGGGATTGAGTGGCTTCTATCATTTTTCTCTCTTCCCTTGTATCTGCACAACAGCCCTGTGAGGTACGTCGGGCTGAGAGTGTGTGACTGGCTCCCAGATCCTAGTCTGGCATTCAACCCCCCTTTACCACGTGGGCTTCCAGCAACTGGCTTCCTTCCTTAGCCCAAACCTGCATGCCGGGCAACTGGCTTGACAGGTCTTTCTTTGTAGGGTGAACCGCCCGCAAAAGGAGGGGGCGGCTTTGGAAAGGCCAAATCACAGCTTCAAACTATGATTCTTCTCATCTACAAAGGCTAGAAACTTTGGATGGTTCTCAGACTGTGCATGTACATAAACCAGTAGAGTTTGTGCCAGTGAGGGGGACCTCTGCGATCTCTCTACAAATGTCCATTTCAGGCCTGATTGCCCAGCTGTACCCCATGGTTGAGTGGACGTGGTTTCCCTCTTTGACTTCGGAGGAGACAAGTTCCCAGTCCACCACACCTCTGGTGCCGGAATGCTGTGTTCCGGTCCAGTAAAGAAATACCGTTTAGCCCTGTGAGCGCAAAGCAAGAGTTCAACTACCCGTCCTGTGCCAGGTTAATGTTTATCCCTGCCCTTAGTTCCCAAAGAGGAAAAAAGGGATGCTGGGAAAAGAGGAAGACTCAACATGAGACGGGCAGACTCAGTCAAGGAAGCCATGGGCCCTCGGGTTGCAAGGCAGTGAAAGAGATGTTCTGGAGGTCAGTAATTCATAGGGTCCTGTAAGTCAGGACAGCATTTAACACACACGGGATGCCACTACAACAGTTTGGTGTAGTGGTTAAGTGCGCGGACTCTAGTCTGGGAGAACCGGGTTTGATTCCCCACTCCTCCACTTGCAGCTGCTGGTGTGACCCTGGGTGAGTCACAAGTTCTGTCAGAGCTGTTCTTTCAAGAGCAGTCCTTGAAAGAGCTCTCTCAGCCTCACCTATCTCACAGAGCATCTGTTGGGAGGGGAAGGGAAAGGAGATTGTGAGCCACTCAGACTCATTTGGGTAGTGAAGGGCAGGGTATAAACCCAATCTCTTCTATTATTCCCTCACTCAAAGCCACCTGACCAGTACGCAGACTACTGCTTCTCCCCCCACACACACACCATGGGTGAACCAGTTCAGCTGGTAGCAGAAGTAGAGCGGGGCCGCAAAGGCGACAGGAGCAACACAGACCAGCTCCTTGCTGCTTTTACGCCGAACATTCAGGGACTCGTCAGAAGTTAAATCATTTTTATTACATGAGGAAGTCGCTTTGAAACTGTTAAAAATTATAAATATATATATAAAAAAAGAAAACTTGGAGAATGGCAACAGTTATTATACCAAGACATCAACGGGATCCAACAGAAAAACAGCCAGTTGCTGATCACAGTGTGTAACCCATGCAGAAATATCGGACCTACGGAAAGCGAGCTGTGGTTGGCGAGACTCTGCAGAGAGACAAAACCTAGGAAGTGATGCTGGCGGGGGAGCCAACTGGTGGTTCAACACTGAAGGATTCTGGAGTCTTTGGAGGAGGGGGGGCCCCATGGTTTCCCATCCCATGGCAGACCCCCCCTCCTTGGCCCCTATGCTGTTTGGGGAACCAATTGCGGGTGATACAGGCAGAGGGGAAGTCTCTCAACCCAGGAGTTCCGTGGGTCACTCGAGAACATCCTTCCTCCTCTCACCAGCCGCCCTTTTTAACGACAGGGGGCTCTCGGCAGTGGTGGGGCCTGCCTGAACACTGCGTGCACAGACACAGGCTGCTCCCGCCTGCCTTCCCTTGCGGGAGAGGAGGGATGCACAGCTCAGGGAAGGGCCCCTGGAGAAAAACCAAGAAGCCCCACTACTCAAGCATACAAGGGAGGGTTGTTGGGTTTTTTTGCTTGTTCTCTTTTAAAAAGCAACATCTTAACACACAAGTGCCTTTTTATATAAAATTACAAAAAAGTATTTGGCAGTGCTTAAGTGGTCATTGTTTTGTACACATCAATTACATTGGCCAGGCCAAGAGAGCACTCTCCTGGTACCGGGTTGTTTTTTTTCCTTTTCAAAGCATAGAAAGGGCCTACAGCGAGCAAGGCCTCTCCTGTGGTGCGTCTTATTACCCTTTGCACCGGACAGACGTCGTGTGTTTATACAAGGGGGGGGGGGGAAGGGACCAAGCATTGTCGTACAACCAAGAAGCTGGGTTCATGAAAAGGGGCAGCAGTTGTATTTCTATGCCAAGTTGCCTGTATCTACTCCAAAGCAAAATGCCCTCGAGTCCTGTAGAGCAGGAACCCCCAGGAAGAGTTCAGAGGTCGAGGTTCAATATCTGTAACTGGGGCTGGACTTCCTGCGCCATTAGAGCATCCTGGGAGTGACCCAGGCCTGCCCCCCTCCCCCCAAGTACTTCCAGGGGCCTGTCACATGGCTCTCGGTAGCCCATGTTCACCTTTTGCTGGTTCACAAAGAAGAGTCGTGTGACTCTTCACTGCCTGTTTGGGCCCTGGCTGCTGCTGCTCCTGTAGCCAAATCCTGCGTGACTGAAACAGTTCGTTCTGCACCTGCTGCCACATACAGGAGATCTGCAACAGTCCCCACAAGTGGTTCTGTCTTTGAGACTAGGGGGATACTAAAGCCTGTAGCTTTTTGGGGGGGGGTTGGTCACGGAGCAGATGAGGCACCCACGACTAAGAACACGAACGTTTTCCTCTCACCCTCACTTGGCATGTTGCAGTCACCCAAGTAATGTGCTTGTAAAAAACAACAACAACCAGCTGGAAGTTATCACCACACAGGCTCACACTGACGTGTAAACAAACATTTGTAACTTTTTGTTTTGCCAAGGAGTTCCAATACAGCTTCAGTGCTAGCTTACATGTAAAAAAAAAGGGGGGGGGAGTTAATGAGATGGAGCACTTTCTCCGAGATCACTACGGGGAAATACAGATGAGGAAGAAGAGACCTGGAAAGGTGTAAGAGATACTCTTTACATTTTTAAAGTCTGGCATGATACAAGGTAAAATGGTTTCCGTTCTTCTGAGCAAAGCTGTTACGCTTGCGTTCCCCCTCTGATAAAACATCTGACAGGCATCCTTGACGTTTCAGGCTAGTGGTTGAAGGCAAGTGTTTTTCTTTATCCCATCACGATCCCAGCAAGGCCAAGTGTGCCGTCCACTAAACATCTCGGGGGACCTGATGCCCGGGGCAGTCACCTCCGCCGCAAAGCGAGGTCTGCGGCTAGCCTCCCTGTCTCACCGTTCCAGAGCACCTCAGGACGAGCGGCAGAACCAGGCTCATCGGGAAACTGGCTGTCTTAAGTGATTCACCGGCCTCTGCTCCCATGGGGGCCAATTCGCTTCACCGCGGATTTTGTCCTAACATGATTGCTTTTAAATAACCATCGCTCCATCACCGGCATCCGCACAGGAAGGCCATCCGCCAAGGCTCAAGGCTTGTGCACAGGAAAGATCGGGGGCAAGGCAGACTGGGACGCCAGTTCTTACGAGCATATCTGCACGCACACACAGGGGGATACAGAAAGGACCCGCAGAGGGGACGAGGCCCTTGCCACTGCTGTCAGAG